TGTTGAATTTTGTCAAATTGGGTGTGAAATTTGTTGCAGATCATGATTACAATAAACTACCATAATTCACATTGGTATCTGTTGGTGTTGGATATGGTAGATCGTGTTATAACAATTTATGATAGTATGTTTACAACTGAAGCAACTAAACAGAGAGTGAAGGATGCTAAGAGATTGGTATGTATGTATGTATGAAAGGACATTATGTAAATTATAATGCATAATTTTTTTGGTGCATAACTTCTTCTATTTTAATGCAGATTAAACTATTAGATTCTTATAATAAGAAACGCATTTGAGTTGAATCCTGTGGATCTCTAGGAAAGTATCCCTTGAAAAATTTCAAATTTGTGGAGCATAAGAAGAATAAGCAATTGAATGGGTATGAGATGTTATCACAAATAGAAAGCTTAATTTATGCAGTATTCATCATAATTGACATGTGTGGTTTTCAAATTTTGTAACAGACATGATTGCGGCATGTATGTGATGATGTGGATGGAATTGATCGGTTCTACAGGGGCAACTAGTGATTTTGTAAGTGGATAGAAAAATTCGTTTGTGGTAAAATTGTTAAAAGTCGTAGATTGAATGCTGTAGTTGACAATACTTAACGTTCTGACAATTTGAATATAGGTTGTTGGAGACTGGGATCGATCGCGAATATTAAACGATCTCGTAAGCCACAATCAAAATGAACGAAGACAGGAGATAACAAAAGCTGCAATATTACATAAAAATAACAAAAGGATGCAATGATGTAAATGTAGGGTTAATTTTGTATAAGATTTATAATTTTGTATACGATTTATATTTTTGTATGTGAATATAATTATGAATGAGATGAGAAAAGTTAGCAGTATGTTGTTGTACATGTTTCTTATACACATTAAGGGTCATGTTGATACTTTGAAGTAAAAGGCAAATTTACAATATGGCCAACAGGGTGCAACCATAAAGTGTCGATCCATATATAAAAAGTGTCAATCCCAAAAACATCGAAAACCAAAAGTATAATGTAATATGTAATTTTTCAATCTAACCGGTACAAGTTTACCGGTTTTATGAGAGAATATGTCTAAATAATGTGTCGACACTAATTTAGTTTGTGTCGATATTTTTGTTCCAGAATGAATGGAAAACAGGGTGCAACCATAAAGTGTCGATCCATATATAAAAAGTATCGATCCCAAATCATCGAATCCAAAAGTATAATGTAATATGTAATTTTTCAATCTAACCAGTACAAGTTTACCGGTTTTATGAGAGAATATGTCTAAATAATGTGTCGACACTAATTTAGTTTGTGTCGATATTTTAGTTTCAGAATGAATGGAAAACAGGGTGCAACCATAAAGTGTCGATCCATATATAAAAAGTGTCGATCCCAAAATCATCGAACCCAAAAGTATAATGTAATATGTAATTTTTCAATCTAACCGGTACAAGTTTACCGGTTTTATGAGAGAATATGTCTAAATAATGTGTCGACACTAATTTAGTTTGTGTCGATATTTTTGTTCCAGAATGAATGGAAAACAGGGTGCAACCATAAAGTGTCGATCCATATATAAAAAGTATCGATCCCAAAATCATCGAATCCAAAAGTATAATGTAATATGTAATTTTTCAATCTAACCAGTACAAGTTTACCGGTTTTATGAGAGAATATGTCTAAATAATGTGTCGACACTAATTTAGTTTGTGTCGATATTTTTGTTCCAGAATGAATGGAAAACAGGGTGCAACCATAAAGTGTCGATCCATATATAAAAAGTGTCGATCCCAAAATCATCGAACCCAAAAGTATAATGTAATATGTAATTTTTCAATCTAACCGGTACAAGTTTACCTGTTTTATGAGAGAATATGTCTAAATAATGTGTCGACACTAATTTAGTTTGTGTCGATTATTTTGTTCCAGAATGAATGGAAAACAGGGTGCACCCATAAAGTGACGATCCATATATAAAAAGTGTCGATCCCAAAATCATCGAACCCAAAAGTATAATGTAATATGTAATTTTTCAATCTAACCGGTACAAGTATACCGGTTTTATGAGAGAATATGTCTAAATAATGTGTCGACACGTTTTAGTTTGTGTCGATACTAATTTAAATATCAAGTGTTTTTCCACCGTTTACTATATATAGTACTCTTAATCGAGAAACCCTAAACATAAAGGCAAGCAGGCAGAAGATAACTCTTCCTTTTTCTTCTACCGTTATCATAAGTGACGATCATATATTCAGGTAAATTTATCGATATTTTATGGGTTTGATTGATTTCTATATTGGAGTTTTTTTCCTGAATGTGTTTGTGTTCCATTGTAATAGCATCCAACCAAAATGGCTCCAAAACGTCAGCGTCTAATGATTTATTTTTTATGTTACGGTATATATTATTATTAAATTAAAAACAATAAACATATATATTACATATTTATTATTATCTTTGGTTAATGTTGTTAAATTTAAATTATAAATATTATTTTATAAAATATCAAAACAATCAAATAATTTTTTGTGTAAATGAAATTATTAAATTAATATTGTATGTGGAAAACATAAAACACTATTAAAAAAATTGAAACATAAATTACATAACTTTTAAAAAAAGTATCGATCCTTTTTATAAAAAGTATGGACACTTTCAATATAATAGGTAAACATATGATGTAATAGGTAGCGCTTATATAATGTAATAGGTATCGTTTATATAATGTAATAGGTAGTGGTTATATTGTAAAGTATCTATCCTTTTTATAAAAGTGTCCATACTTTTTTCACTGTGGAAAACATTAATTTAAGGTTATCTTTTGAGTAAGTTTTAAGATATTAATTTAGTAATTATAGGCGTCTAATGATTTATTTTTTACGTTACGATATATTATTATTAAATTAAAAATTCTAAATAATATTTTATAAAATATCAAAAATCAAATAATTTTTGTGCAAATGAAATTATTAAATTAATATTGTAGGTGGAAAACATGAAACACTATTAAAAAAAATTGAAACATAAATTACATAACTTTAAAAGAAGTATCGATCCTTTTTATAAAAAGTATGGACACTTTCAATATAATAGGTAAAAATATGATGTAATAGGTAGCGCTTATATAATGTAATAGGTATCGTTTATATAATGTAATAGGTAGTGGTTATATTGTAAAGTGTCTATCCTTTTTATAAAAATGTTCATACTTTTTTCACTGTGGAAAACATTAATTTAAGGTTATCTTTTGAGTGAATTTTAAGATATTAATTTAGTAATTATAGGCGTCTAATGATTTATTTTTTACGTTACGATATATATTATTATTAAATTAAAAATTCTAAATAATATTTTATAAAATATCAAAAAATTAAATATTTTTTTGTGCAAATGAAATTATTAAATTAATATTGTAGGTGGAAAACATGAAACACTATTAAAAAAAATTGAAACATAAATTACATAACTTTAAAAGAAGTATCGATCCTTTTTATAAAAAGTATGGATATTTTCAATATAATATAATGTAATAGGTAAATTTGCAATACTATGGATATAAATATACCGGTTTACTTATAAAATAGGTAAATATAAGCGCTACTTATTACATTATATAAGCGCTACCTAGTATGTTATTGTACTTTATAATATTTCCGGTTAAATAATATAACATAACCGGTATAAATTTTAACCGGTCAATTATTTAACCGGTCACGCCATATATTAGCCGTTTTTTAGGCGCCGCACCGCAGAACTACCCCGCACTTGGAGACCGGCATAAATCACCATTAAAAAAAATAAATTTTTAATTTAATACTCATTCTCTGTTAATTTCAAGATGACACGTTTTATCATCATGTTTACGCATCATTTTTCAAATTTTAAAAAAATTGTCGATATTGAATAAATATCTTTCATCTCTGGAAAATATAACATATGATAATATATATATATATATATATATATATATTATTTTTAATCAATCGATAAATATATAAATTAATTTATGAATTTCTCTTAACTCATATAACATTGAATATTAGATAGATAGATATAATACTTCGATCAAATTCAAATTACAGACGCACATATGAATACAACATATGAAAATTGTTCAACTATTTCAACTATGTATTTATTGACTTATTTATCTATGTATTATATTTTATCTTTATTTTTAATTTTCTTACTGCCGGAGGTCTTCCACGGAAGCTGCTCTCAACCTGGCGTTGGGGGCATCCTACCACCCCACCTCCCCTTATCCCATTGCATATGGGAATAGGGTTTTGTTGTTGTTGTTGATCAAATTCAAATTAACAAAAATTTCAAGTCAATCTAACCCATTAACATCCCTAATTAAAACCTATATTATTATTCCTGCTAGTTAAAGATTTAATACAATTTATTGAGTTAAATCGTGTTATTAGTTATTGTATTATACTTAAGTTAAAAAGTTATTTTATATTATTCAATTTGATTTTTTTAAATCTCTATAATTTGATGGCTTAATATAAGAATAAGTGCTTAAATTATATATTTTTTCTCATTTAGGTGTTTAAACTAATTTTTTGGTTAATCCAGATGTTTAACATTACAAATATTATCATTTTAAGTATCCCAACTATAACATCCGTTAGGAAATTTTGTTAAGTGACATGTGTCACATTTCAATAATTTAAAATTTTTATTTAAAAAAATATAAATTTTATTTTAAAAACATTTAAAAGAAAAATAAAAATTTCAACCGCATATCCCTCTCAAACCCCCACACATGTGCTGCTTGCAATCCTCCCACCACCAATCGAAGAATGATCAAATGGCCAACTGCCACGGTCAGTCAAAAGACTAAACAACCAAATGGTAGGCTGTCACGGTCGTCCATAGGGATTTAGGAATTATTTAGGGATTTGAATGTTTAGGATTTTAAAGATTTAGGGATTTAAGGGAGTGGGCGACGACTGGTCATTGAATGACCGACGATGACTGGGATGACAATTAGTTGATGACTGACGGGGATCAAGACATCAACGATGATTTTTGGATTTTGAAATTAAGGTTTTTAATGTTTTGAGGGTTTTTTTTAGATTTAAGAAAACTTGTGGTATTTTTTAAAATTATTTAACTTTCGAATTACTCTTAATCTAATCCCTCTAACTTTCAAATTTATTTTTTTATTTTAATTATGTATTAATAAAATAATAAAAAAATCAATGTCACACAAATTATTAATAAAATAAATTAGAGTGATTAGAACATAAAATTATTAATAAAATAAATTAGAGTGATTAAAACATGAGTAATTTGAAAAGTTAAGTAGTTAAATTGAATTTTTTTTAACTTTAGTGACTAAACATAGGAGTGAGAAGATAGTTAAGTGATGAATGATATAATTATCCATAAAAAGGTATGTTAACTTTGCAACGACGGTTACTAAAATGATATTGAAGAGAATGCTTTCTTGTATTTTATTCATCAACACTATGGGTATATATACAAGTATAAAGGTCCTATAATATGTAAAGTAATGTCCTACATCAAATACAATATATATATCAACCCTAATATTTAGCCTATAAATATGTAAAACAAGGGAGGTTGTCTGTAATCCTGTTAAAGCTTTTCAAGATCTGAAGAAGCTAAAACAAATTAATGGAAGTGTAGCGTTTGACCTTAGTAAAATATACAAGTTCCTCAATTTTTAAATTTTCTCTTTCTAAATTTTATGGAAATGAAAAGAGCTTAAAATCACTGCATCTTACCCTACTGCCTAGAACGCCAATATATTTTTAACACATTAAACACTCTAGATAGCATAGTGACAAAATGACTAAATGCAATATGCCTGAATCTTACCCCCAAAAAAAAAAAAAAAGGTGCCGTTGATGTTCAAGGCCAATAGCACCCCTCATCCCTTTCCAAAATTCCCTTGTCTCCCTCATCTTCCATTGATACTGGTGACAGTCCAATTTTTTTTTTTAATCTTATACATGGTTTCTTATCAAACTATTGCTGCTCTTTCTACTTACTCGTTTATTTTGAGTAGAATTCTGCTTCTTAGTTGAACAGATTTTTTTGGTTTTTCCAGATTAGATAGCCTTGTTGGCCTATTTGCTGCTGGCTGTCAACCTAGTTCTACTAGTGATCCATTTGGCATAAGAAGAATCTCTTATGGCCTAGTTAGTATATGATTGGGTTACTCTTTTAAGGAATAATACACTTGATTATTACAATGTTAAATTTGTTAACTGCAGGTCCAGATATCGGTGGAAAAGGATAAAAATATTGATTTAAAACATGCTTTGGAACTTGCAGCTGATGTTCATACCATTAAAGTGGATGCAACCACAATAGAGGATGTAAGAAGCAAGCTCTTTTTGTGTCATACAATGTCATGTTTACTTCCTCTGTAGTGATGCCAATTCCATTGATGTGATTCTACATGACTCTAAATATACCGTGTGATGTTAGTTATAAACAATAGTTAATGATGTGGAATTTAATCCTTTTTCATTTCCTGTTTCAGGCATATCAATTTGTTACTCGAAGATTAGAGCAATATCTGGTATGCATAATCCTTTTGCATTAAAGATTTCTTCATTTTTTAAAGTGCTTTTAACAATGTAGTGAATGGAAATGTAGTGATGATGTTTAATTAGCCAATTTATCTCATCATTGGATTGTGTTGTATTCCGTGCTTAAATATACTTTCGAATTATTAGTTTTTAATCTTAAAATGATTTCTTGATTTATTACTTCCAATCAAATAAATGTGAATGTTAATTACAACCGAATTGGAAAACCTCCAATCTAAGAATGGAACAAAATAATAATGCTGGTGGACGTTATGCCAACTATTAATGCCATTGGAGAATTTATGCAGATAAGCTGTATTTTTTGCTACAGGTTGATAAGGGAATAAGTCCAGAAGTGGTTCGTTCCGCCCTTGCAGAGTGTGCAAACTTGCCTTGTCTAGCTGCTAAAACAGCATATAAAGTAAGTGAACCTGGTTTATAATTTTGTCTGACATGATGTTAGTCAATTCATATCTGATACTAACACTGGGTGTAATAGAAACTATATCCGAGTGTATTAACTGAATGAAGTGCACCCAAGAAATGTATAATTTAATACTAAAATGGATTTCCTCAGTTATGAATATGTTTTAATGGGAAGAAAAGGCCTCTGTTTTTTTAGGGGATAATATTATTGATATCCTTGCTGCAGGCTATTCCATTTCATATCGATGTGTATGATTTGAATTTACATTGCTAAATGACCCCCAAAAAAAATGTGTTCTGTACATAAAATAGATTACTGTATTCCTGCATTTAAAGCTTGTCCGCAGTGACTGATTTGTGTAATCGGAATGCAATATGCTGGAGTCTTAGGTACTGGGCTTCTGTTCCTCTCTGTGTTTTTATATTTTTTTCCCTTTTTCTTAACTACTGAACGTTCTGTTTTGAGGATGTTTTACGTGTCATGTTAGATAAAAGATAAAACAACCATTGTTCTTTTTTTTCACTTTCAATTTTCATCCATTTTCAGTATCCTCAAATATTTTATGATAGCATATAAAATAACTGGCTGCAGTTGGAAGCCTTGTCGAAAGGAAATCTTTTCACTAAGGTCGTAGAAGCATATTCTCGTCCAACTAGAATCGTCCGTGGAAAGGACGTGGACGCTGTTGTTGAGGTACTAATACTCCCTTGAATAGTAACAGAATACCCAATAAGCTTACATTTGAGCTTTTGATCAAATCGATTGGAGATTAGTTCGTCCTTCTATTTGATAGTGAACTCTAGTAAATCTTGAATGCTGTTAAGATACATCAGTTGCAAATTCTGTAATCTGACGCCATTCATCTTTATTAGGTGGATGATGGTGTATTTGAAACAAATGAAGAGAGAGATTTATGGGACGCCTTCTTGTCTGTTAAGAACAAAATTCACCCCGGTATGTTCTCAGTTTATTACCAGCCTGCAAATGCTGTTGAGTTATCGTCTTTTATAGCAAAAAATGTTGCTCTCATTTAATTTGATTGAATAACATTTTCCCCTACTAATCCGGTTATCTTACTTTTCTGTGTAAATGCTCAGGTGTTGAGGTTGATGATTTCATCGAAATATCTTCAGAGCTAGTTCAACCTTTAGAAGATTTTTTTAATGGAGTATGTGTGATGGTGGTACGTTTGTCTTTACATCTTACTCGTTCCGTTTATAATTATGTCTTGCTAATTAATTTATTTATCTGCTCGTTCATAATACTGTTCCAAAAAAGAAAGAGTGAAGAGTTGGAACAACATAGCTTTTTAGCTCAAGTTAAGTCGGTCGATACGAGCTTCCAAAATAAACAGTCGTATGAGCCTGTGATCTCTCGATCAATGATAGGATCATTTGCGGTCGTAAACGCAAACAAACCTGAGAGCAGAGCTTGTTTCAGTAGGGTCTCCCCCCATAGACGTTCATGTAGAATCCCATCTGAGCTTTCACGTGCAGGAGGACGAAAGAATTAGAAACAACAGGCTGTGTTTGGTCAAGAAAATTGCAGACCTTCCGAAAGGTGTGGCAGATCTCTCGGTTTTACCCGGATTTTGATCCAGACAATACATGCATATACTTCTACATTCTTTGATCAGAGTAAACACCAGTCGGTACCGAAAGATCATACGGCTGTCGGCGGGTTTACTGTTTTGGGTTGTGCATTGTTGGTTAGAAAAATAGTTTTTGACATCACAGAACTGGTAAAATTTCGTTGCAACATACAATAGTTTTCCATCCATTTGTTCATCTTGAACTTTTTTGCTCTGCAGCTGCAATTGTCTTGTTACATTCGAGGCTTCACATATGCCTTATTAACTTCGAGTTGAACTTGATTTTTGTACTTTACTATTTTAATGATAAATTAGAAAGATAATAACAAATAAATAAGATTGTAAATATAAAGAGGATTTTATTAATTACATTGTAATTTTAATACATATATCGTGTAAATTTTAATTTATATAAATATATTTATTTGAATGATAAATGTCTTTTTTAACGTTTAAAGTTTTAATAAATAAGGAATTTAGTATTATAAAAAATTATTATATAAGAAATTTGTCTGTTGGTTTATTGAATAATAAAGGTATAATTTAATTATTTTAAAAATTGTATCATAAATTAGTACGGTAACAAAAATACACTTCCCCTTCCATAATAATGTATGGTTAGATTTCAGGGTAAAGTACACATATAGTTCCTTTATTATAAGGTGATATTTTATTGAGTATTCTGATTATTAAATATTATAAAATAGTCCTTTGACTATAGGACGTTATTTTGTTGGGCCTTTCAACTATTAAAAGTTATAAAATGGTCGTCTGACTATCATATGTTTCAAACTTGTCTTTTTCTGTTAAAATATTAACGAAAATATGATTAGAATGTTAACTTTTTGACTGAGATATGATAAAATCTGATATCAGAATTTCAAACAACTATTATATATTAGTCAACATGTTAATGTCTAACTTAGTCGACCACCAATTTTTTAACGAAAAATGATAAGTTTGGAACATATGAATAGTTATGTGACTATTTTAAAACTGTTAATAGTTGAAGGATTTAATAAAATATCATCTTATAATCAAAAGATCATTTTATAACTTTTAATAGTCGAATGACTTAATAAAACAATACCTTATAATTCGGGACCCTTTGTATACTTTATTCTAGATTTTAATCTTAAAAAAAAATCTCTTCTAAATAATGACACCCGAGTCGTTGAGAATACAATGTACCTTGTGACCTATAATTTTAAGTTAACTCATTTTTTGTTTCTAATGATGACAAGGGAAAAAACCATGAACTTTTTTAAGAATCATACCCACTCAATCGACATTACAATATAGATACAGTTAAAATTTCTCTCTTCTCTCGCGGCTAAGATACATTGTTCCTTCCACGCTTTCTTACAGAACTGTTCATTCAATCCAACATTCATTTGATTGCATGCTGATGAAATACCGAATCTCCATGGAAATCCTAAATCTCTAGCAAAAGTGCTCGGAGTCGGACGGGTGTATAATTAGTTTGGGTATAGTCTGAATTCGAAGACAATGGCGAGCTCGAACCCTTTTGATTTGTTGGGAGATGATGACACTGGGGAGCTCTCATTGCTGATCGCTGCTCAAAAAAAGGCCGCCGCTCCCGCCCCCTCCGCCGTTCCTAAAAAGGGGCCGGCTCAGTCTCAGACGAAGCCGCAGCCGCAGCCTAAGCTTCCCTCCAAGCCTCTTCCTCCTGCTCAAGCCGGTAAGCTTTTCCTATAGAAGCCTTCATTTTGAGCCTTTGTTGTTTAGTGCTTCATTGTTGTTTGCTATAGCTGTAGTCTCTTCATTTCATATACGAAAATGTTTTCTTGTGTGTTGAGTCTTGAATTTAATTGGTCGTGTTATGTTGAAGTTGCCCATTCTTTTAATGGTCGAATTGTGGAGTTTGAATGGGTTTATGTTATTATGTTGGGTTTCATTTCTAGTGAAGAGAATGGAGCTTGATTGTTTATTCACCTATAGCTATCGTGCTCATGTGTTTTGCCTTGTCATTGTAATGTTTAAATGGTTTCATATTTTTATAATTTCCGATACATTAATAATTCGTATTATATAGATTTTGAGACATCCATATCTTTGTATGGTGTTCTTGTAACTGTTCTCTGATTCTTCTTCTTCTTTTTTTTTTTTTGTGTGTGTGTGTATCGTGTCAAATATTGCCAGGTCCAAGGGCAGACAGTCATGCGGGGGCGTAGGTAAAAAAATTAAATTATAGTGTCAGAATTTAGAAATTTTTTAAAGATTTTTTTTAAGTGAGTGAGGACAAACAGTGAATGTCAATTTCCTCCGAAGGATATTAATTTTCTTTTGAATTAATCACTTGTATCTGATCTATTGATTTACTAATTCATATCGAGTTTTGTAGAGTCCCATTATGGGAACGACCGTCCCAACCCAATTTGCTCGATTCGCAAACGTTAGGGTAAACCCCTAACCTTGTTTAAGGAATCTAGTACCTCATCCCACTAGACCAACTGATTGTTGGTTCTAAAAGATATTAATTATTTACAAAGTTGTGTCAGTATTCTTGTAGAGTGATATTCATGCATGCACATTTGAGCACAACCCAGTTTTTTGTTTTTCAGTTGTTTATTTGATATATATCAATTGAGTGTGTCATATATTTATTCAATTTGTTTTCCAGAGTGAAGAGAGCTATAGATACCGAAAAAAATTGAGTCGCTTCGCTCCTATTTTTTCTTTTCTTGAATGAAATGAGAATGCAATAATGGACTAGACTAGCATAGATAAAACTGTCTATTATTTTGTTTCTCTGAGTGTCTTTCGGTGTTCCATCAATAAAATTGTAGTTTTCGATTCGAAAGCTTTATCGGATTGATAATTGCATTCCAATTATACAAACTAGGTATCGGTGCTAGTTGGTTTTTTTTATACTGCTAGTTGTCTCATTTGTTCAACATGCTTTTATATTTAATAGTCGGTTATAGTTTCATACTTCCAAGTATGAATCATGTTTAGTCGAAAAGTTCTGATTTTCTGGATCTTATGTGTTATGTTTCTTGAGCTGTGCTCAAATTGATACTTTTAGCTTATGTTTGTGCATTCGTTTTTTCTTTCAAGTGAGGGAGTCAAGGACTGGAGGTGTTCGTGGCAGAGGCCGTGGTGGGCGTGGATATGGACAGGTACGTGGTGTTAGTGGCGGATACAGACGTGATTTTGGCAATGATGAGAACTCATTCAGCAGCAGTGGTGGCTATGGTGGTCCTCGACCTTATCGTGGTGGTTAATGGTGGTTCTAGTGAAGGGGAAGTTGGAGATGGAGAGCGACCTCGCAGGTTGTATGAATGTCGTAGTGGGACTGGAATCGGGTAGAACTTAAAAGAAGTTTTGTTTGACTTTAGTTTGATATTATCATTTCATTATTCTATCCAAATCTCGGAACTGATGCTTTTTTGTTTGCGGTTCCCGTCTGTAGAAATGAACTCAAACGTGAAGGCTTTGGTCGTGGGAATTGGGGAACTCAGACTGACGAACTTGCTGAGTGAGCTATCTTTAGTGTTTAAGTGTCAACAATTCCAACCTTCAATTGTATTGTAAAACTAAATGAAATCATCACTTAGTTTTGTTATTCTTTCCTCATTATGTGCCTCATAGGGTGATTGAAGTTGTCAATGAAGGTAAGAGGAATTTAGCTTATGACAAGCCAGCAAGAGATGAGGATGCAGGAGATGCTAACAAGGAGAGCTCTACAAATGAACTTGAAGAAAAAGAACCCGAGGATAAGGTAGCTTCACCTGATAATATATCGTTTTAGATTGTCATTGATGTCTACTTGTATTGCTCAAACTTGGGGACGAGTGCCAGATACAAATATGTCTCCGACATGATTATGCTTGATTTTTCCAAGCTTTTCCATATATTTGGAGGATCATACCCCTAAATCTATGTCTGCATATATCTCATGTGCGTGTACTTGCTGAAAGTGATGAGTTGGAGTAACATGAATATCTGCAATTTTTTCTAATTTTAAATGTAATATGCTAACTACTGCTATTTCTGCGTGCATCCTTTGATATTGAAATATTAACAGGAGATGACTCTCGAGGAATACGAGAAGCTGTTGGAAGAGAAGGCAAAGGTTCTTCAAGCACAGAAACCCGAGGGAAGAAAAGTGGATGTCAAGGAGTTTGAGTCTATGCAACAACTTTCAAACAAGAAGAGTAGTGATGAAATCTTAATCAAATTGGTGAGCCTCAATGATTCCTTTTAGAATTCTATCATTGATGACTTAGGTTATTTGATGGCAAATATGTGTTTATCATATGTATCTTTAATTGTTGGCAGGGCTCTGATAAAGATAAGAGAAAAGAGGCTTACGAGAAGGAAGAGAGAGCAAAAAAGGTATCGTATCTCCTTTGATACATCCCGAGTTTTAATTTTCCTACTTTTCGAGTTTATTATGGGCCTCTTATTTAAGTTCATTGAACTGCAACACATTTTGAACATTTGTCTTTATTTTGGTATTTAAGTTTTAATTTATTGGACAGTTGGCAATATTAGACAAACACAGTATGCATTGTTAACACATTAAAATTTATGCAAAATACTTTGAACACAGTTATCATGTGTAAAATACACGAACATGATATGGATAATACGAATTGGCAGTTCTAGTAATTTATATTCCGTTAATTTTAGTGTTATAAAAAACTTTGATGCTTATTTTGTGATTTTATCCATAAATTATTTAATTTGTTTGTTACAAAGCTTGCGTGCTACTTTCTCATCTTAGTGATTTTGCAATTTTATTCGTAAAATCATCTTTATGGTATGCACTGATCCTTATTCTCTACTCGGTGGTGGTTATAGTCTTTGAGTATTAATGAATTTCTGAAGCCTACTGAAGGGAAGAGGTACTACAACCCAAGCGGGCGAGGTCGGGGTAGGGGTCGGAGTCAGGATCAGGGTCAGGGTCAAGGTCAAGGTTGCGAGCGTGGCTTGGGAGGGTTTGGTGAAGGCAATGCTGCAAGTAATATGGCTGTACCATCCATTGAAGACCGTGGTCAGTTCCCTACTTTAGGGCGCAAGTGAGATTTCTCTGTAATCCCGCTTATATTTTCCATGCCTTTTCTTTTCTTTTTTTGTTATATCTTTTTTCAACTTCGGATTACCGGGTTCTTTAGATTTTGGCCAGGAAATGAACTCGAATAATATGGTTTCCTGTTGCCAATGGATCTCTGAATTTTATGTTTTGAAATGTATATGTTCAGTTTTCTTGTAGAGGGGCTATTCTGCTGTGATCTTTAAGCATTCTTGGCTTTCTTAACATGCCAAGTATTCTTTACTTGATGTTCCTATGATTTCGTATGGCTTTGATTTTGATAGCATAACCAGTAACTTACAATCGTACTCTTTCTGAATTTAATTCATTTTCTGTTGAATTCATTTTTGAGTTCTGTACGGATACATTATCGTCCTTCCAGCTAAGCATTCCAAATGACTTGCTCAACCTATCATCACCTTTACAATGCTTGTCCTCCCTGTATTTGTTTATGCAACTTATTAGTATTGGAAAAGGTGTATTACTAGTAATGCAAAGGCCAAAACCGCTTGTATGGACGAGGGAAACAGAACCCAATGTTCTTGGTTTCGGATTTGAATCTTGTGGATGAAAGAATAATGTGGAGAAAGCTATTTTTCGTATCTAACTGACTTTGAATGTGGTAATAGCCTACGCTACTGCACAAACCAAGAATCTCGGACCAAAAAAGTACCCAAAACCACATTGATTAAGCTGTTTATTAGTCACGTAATTGGAATGCTCGTGTAATGGGTACCAAACCATTATCCTTTTCAATTATTTTGAAACGTTCTGCTTACTCATTCTTGTGCTTCATTTGACATTATTGCATCCAATTTCAAGATGTCCGAGCTTACCTTGTCTACTCTTTCTTAAGATGCTAGAGTAAACCAACATACCGGTGTAACTGTGTCATTTTCTTCTCTCCAAAACTAATTTGTGCTTTTCTCTTGAGAGAATGTTTGCTTGGTTTTATGCTGGGTCATTTTATGTTTGATTCAATTTCGGTTCAATTTTATGTCCGATTTTTAGTTCACAAAGTTAAAAAATCGCAATGATCCAAAAAAAATATCTATATTTAATTTATAATTATTTTTAAATTTTCTTGTAATACGAAAATAATTATTTTATACTCAAATTCGATAATAATTTGTAAAGCAACATAAAAATCAGTTTTATAAAATTGATAAACCGAATTGATTTCACGGTCAAACGCCCCAATGCGTGACGTAGATAAAATGGACCAACTGTGAGTTTGGGCCCGTGATAAAGACATCACGAGATTGAACAACAGAGAATCAATCAAAACCTGATTTTCTTTTGAAATGACAATCACTCTCAAGGATTTGGATGTGCTTGGCGCAGCCTAATTTGGAGTTTCCGCGAGGCTAAAACAAGGAATAAGCAATAGGGGAAACCAATTCCAGTTGTTTGACACAAGGAAAGGACGAGGAACATCATTTATAGCATGCATCCTTTCTCGCACCATTCATAAAAGCAGCATTGTAACTATAGTTAAGAATGTACCTTTCAACTATCGTGTAAGAAGACTGTACGAGGGCAGATCCTCGAGCCGTGTTATATCTTCGAGTAGGAGCTCCTTTTCCAGTTGACGTCGTGTGGCTTTCATCACGGTCTGTAACACCAAATACCAGAGGAAGAATGATTCAATTATAGGAGCGTGATCTGATTTTTGATTGGCTTGGATCTATGGCACTATGATGCCCGAACCAAAAAAGTCATATATGGGTGGGCGGAATATTTGAGCGCCACCATCGTTTTTATATCGTCCTATGTCCGAAAGGAATTTGCTGGTTCGAGAAAACTTACATTGAAGTCCATGTAGGATGCGCGCATAACAAGCCATTGCTGGTCCATTAGCTTGAATGCGATGCAATAGAGAAGGTCGAAGGCAGATTTATCTTCTATTCAAGGCAGAAAACCAGAGCTAGTTTACTTTCAAGCATACAATTAGATTGAAGACTAAATGACAAAGGAAAGAAACACCAGCATCGGTGAATAAATGTCTACGAAAACATTATAAAAAACGACACTGCAAAAACTTGGAATAAACTAGCAGTACCCGACAGGAACTCTAAGAAAATTGCTCCAACCATCGTTCTCGGTTTTACTGTAGAATCGAAGCACACAGTGTGAACCGACTAAAAAAAACTAAGAAATAGCAATCTTAATGAGGATACATAGAACATAAAATGAGAATGGCCTATATTGATGCACATTCACATTATGACCAGGTATCAGATTCACAGCTTCACATGAAAACATGTGCCGATTTAAAAAAGTTATAGAGATCGAGCATACATTACCTGCTTCGAGATCAAGCATCTGAATTAGCATGAATGTAATGTTCACACCAGCAACGGCAAAGGGATATCCCCACGCTGACCGATTACCTTCCTGCTTCCAAAGAAGATCCATGAAGGATTTCTGCATTGAGATGTTCAGAAACAACTTAGCATTGGATGAACAGATACAGACTGAAAGATAAAGTAAAACTATTGATGTAGCAAAACTAGATTTTAGTTAAAGAAAATGTATATGAAATGCTTTCCTGAAATCATTATTTGGTGATTGTTATGGATGCTTTTGTCAGCCAAACCTATGTTAGGAAAGACCATTAATTTTGATTACTTAATTAGGACTTAAATGACGATAACTTATTTCTTAAGTTTCTTGATTTTATTTCAGTTGATTTATTTTCTTACTAGAATAAATATCTTATTTATGTGATAAGATTGATTGGGGACGAATGGAATAATAAACCTAAGCATATTTTTTTTCGTCGATCACCCATGACATGATCCCACACTCACAGTGATAACAATTTGAAATCAAAGCCAATGATTCTCAACAATGGTTTAACAGTGGTAAACAGAAATACGCAAAAAGTCGAGTATATGCGAACAAAGATTGAACGAGGTTAGCTCATACGTTGCTGCATATTGATGAAATTATTGAGGAGAATAAATCCCAAGTGCTTGATAAATTGCTTGAGGGAATGGATAAACAGGGTTCCTGATAAATAGGTTAGTAGCTCTATGGTTATGCAGGTAGAATCTCAACCTGAACAAAACCAAACCATGGCAAACTCTAGCAACCTCTCTTATTTATCTAATGCATCAAACTCTACTAACCCATTACGACAAAACAATTTTAGTCACAAGCAGTTACACTCACCTTATTCATTAACCCCGTCTAAACTCCAATCCGACAACCTTTCTTTTTTACCTAGTGAAACGGATATTAGAGATGATAGAGACTCACTTGTTAGTTCTTTTATTGTTAAAAGTGTGCAATTTTTTATTATTAAAGACATATTTGGGTTCGTAACTAGGCTATTTTTTAAAAAAAATTTGTGAATTCTAGTTATAAGTTTGAAAAGATTGATTCAATAGTGTTGATAAAATGAGAACAAGTAATTGTGGTTTCACGACCCGTATTGGTTTTGACTGTTAGTAACTGGAAGGAATAATGGTGAGGTAATGGTCGGTTTATCTAATAAAATTATCTAATACTGAAGAGAACAACGGAAAAAAAAAAAGACATTGTGGGTTAAGCAACAAGTAAAAGCACATACCGGAAATTCCCTAGCAAAGAATAACAGGTTCTCCAATGATATAAAACCACCACCCCTGCAAGATAAATCCAAAAAATAAAAAGTAATTACCAATTAGATTGTCATTCATAAAGAGAAATGGTAAATAAAAAGGAACTACGCTACCTAAAATCTGTAGATGGATCTTCCCCTTGCCACCCCATTTCCTTCCACTGTTCAGATATTAAACCACGTAGTTCTTCTTCCGGAAAAGCAGCATTCCATAAGGCCCTTAAAGCTTCCTGTGGAGAAGCAGCAATAATGAATTAGAGTATAACTCTCATAAATCAGATTGATGATTATAGATTTAGAATTGCACCGTAAGTTAAAATAGCAACATTACAAACTGATACCTGATGCTCAAGGATTGAACTATCATAGGCAATATCAATACGTTTCTGCAGCCTTTGCAAGCATTCCTCCTGGCAGCATAGTTGTCAGGAATAAATGTTTCTGGTGAATGGAAGTAAATTTTTTCAATTTTTCAAGTAAAAAAACAACACAAAGCTTGAAAGGCATGCTAGCTTACCAGAAATGGGGAAAATGAAAGGGTAATGAATCTAATGATGCCAAAAAAAAAACCCTAACCAAATCTACTCATGCAGCTAAAAATAGGAGCATGCCATTTTTTCAAATACTTTAATAATGTTGCCAAAAAAACAATAGTCAAGTAATTGGAGTTCCATTTTAGTAAATAAAAAGTTTAAACACAATTTGGGTTCAGATGATAGCAATAAAAGAAAACAATTGCATACTTGCCAGGAAGGTAAACAAGAGATCCTATCACCAGATTCCTATTTCTTCGAGACAGGGCCATAAATTACACATGAAATGGGAAATAAAAATCATAGTTAACAGGGGCAGAGATCGATAAATTGATCGGATCATAAATATTACCTCAGAAGGGGTTAAATCAACTGATGGACGAGCATCACCCTCTCTCCTCTGTGCACAGACACAAGAAAGACCTCTACCCAACCATGCCGCTGATCCTGCCACAACCTCAGCTGTAAGAAAAGAAATCTCCACTAATGAAAATGCAGTTACTAAATCATCACTGCACTTCTTTAACAATATCAAAATTACTAGTGCCAAGGACAACCTTTGATTCAAAAAGACGGTTCACTTTAGCAGCTAATAGAAGCAAAAACAAGATAAAAGAAAAAGGAAAATAGGAGAAAAAAACCAGCCAACTATATATAACCAACTGAACCAGGATTAGAACAGAAAACGATAGCTACACCCCACCTAAAAACTGATATGCTAAACAACCTTTGAACTATGAACAAAATTAGCATTCAGTATGACCTAAATGGAAAGATATAAGAGATGATTTAAGAAAACTTCATCAAGCAAGAATTTTGCAACCTGGAAATGTACTAATAAGTGACTTCTATAAGAGAGGCAGAATCTAGTTCCTCAAAATTTTGATTTTAGATTTCAATTCCTATATGAACTGTGAGAATGGAACGGATAAGTTATGCATAAATTAATTACAGTTCAATATGAGTATCTACTTTAAAAGTAGATAAAATATGAATTTCAAGTGCACAAATATCTATAGTTATTTCAAATTCACCATTAGATAAAGGTCAAACAGATCCATGAATTTAAAAGGTAACCCTGAATATTGCATTTGCATGTGATTTATCACATGATTTACACTTTTTTGAAATCCAAATCCTGAAAGCCAACTTAAGATAAATGGAAATGGAAAAGCAAACCTAATTGGCTTTGAACTTTGTAGATCACTTTCTCAACATTAATTATCAATTTTCTATTTCACACAAAAATGTTAGAAACAAAAGAGTAACAATAAGCGAAGCAATTAATCCCCTTAAAATTTAAATCCAGACTTGCTTGAAACCATTCCAAAAAACGGATAAAATGCCAGAATAGATATAGCTTAAATTTTCAGAGTATGAAGTAATTAATAAAGATAAACATGAAAAACCATACAGAAAAAGACATTCATCGATTCAATTAAATTTTTCAAAAGAGCAAAGAAGAGAAAAGCTCGCCAAATGTTAACCACCAAACAGAATATCAGAATGAAAAAAAAAACTCACCAAAACAAATTTGAGCATCATCACACATTAAGTCAGGGATCGTTTTTGGTAACACGCAAAGCTTACTCTACCTCGCAGTTTAAATTGCAGATTGAATTTACTCACCGGAAAAGAAAGTGTAAAATAAAAGACGTTTTCTGGAAGGGGGGGGGGGGAGAGAGAGAGAGAGAGAGAGTCTTTAAAATAATATTTATTTTAGATTTTTGTCGTTAAAAGAAAAAAAGTGAAACACGTAAAATAAATTCCAAAATCGGATTTAAACTAGAATTTGAGTTCCATTACCAGAATTTGAATGGCATGTATTGCCTTGCTCGAGACCATGAGAAATCCTCCTAACGGCTACAGAGGAACCTCCTCTATTGTCCATCGCCACCTCTCTCTTCTCTCCTTTCACATTAAGTTCATCAGTTCCAGTCTCTCTCTACATATATATTTTTTTTTATCGAGAACCCGTATCAAACAGATTCTCCAACAATTAACGACTGTATCAATGACATAAAGAGAAAGAAACCCAATCAAACTCTAATTATCCAAAAAAAAATGAAAGAGAAAGCGAGAGAATCAAAGCGAAGCAGTACCGAAACAAAAGAGCAAAGCCTCAGGATGAACTGGAAAGCCAAAGGCAAGCAAAATCAGAATGGAAACATGCCACAATGGAATAAAAAAGGACCGAAATGTTGATTCCGTCGTCGGAAATAAATCAAAATTTAAGCCACACAAAAAAATACGCCGATGAAGATAAGTAAAGTGGAGCTTCTTCGACCAGTAGCTGACTAGATTCTTGGAAAAAGCATACGTAAAGAATCCATTCCAAGACAAGGTGTTCTCTCTCTCCCTCGTTTTTCTCTCTCTGTTAGCTTCGCTGTGTGTTCTCGAATTTTTTTGAGAAAAGACAGCGGAGATTACGAAAAAGTATGGAGAGGTTAATTACCTAATGTGTCCCTCTAAAATGTTTAATTATTGATATTAATTTCTTTCCCGTTTTCTAAGGAGAAAATTGTAATTGTATCTAACCGGGAGAAATGTTTGTAGCGGGAAATGCAACGGTGTGGGTGGTTCTTGGATTAATCATGGTTTATGAATTATTGATCAGACTAATTTAAATAGATAATTACAAAATTCTATTTTAAAATAGTTTTTCCAACTTAATTTACTTTCTTTATAATAATAAAATTTGAACTTTAATTTTAGTTAAAAGTAAATCATCAGAGGTGTGGGTAATTTTAAAAATACAAACGAATTACGTTAGTTTAGTTTTAAAACATATGAAGTAGAATGTAATTAATTATTTATATTTTCTATATAAATAAATAAAATTTTAAATAGTTAGAGGATAGAGATATTAGAAAAATATTCAAAAAAAATAAGTCAATATATAACGAAATAATATATCATCCTCATCTAGTATTAATTATATTTAAAGTCGTTGAAAAAAAGTGAGAGTTATATTTCGTAAATAAAGAGTCTCTGACAGCCAATAATGTTATGGAAGATGTGTACAATTATCGATATCTTTGTATCATGACAAAAAATTAAAATATGTTTAGTAAAGTTGTATTAACTTTATCTAAAAATAAATACATGTTTTACATGTTTAAGACATATATTAACACAAACATAAACACGCATGAATTTCGATTACGAAATATAATTCTTTAACTTTCCATCACACGTCTACTTTAGACAAAGTTGATATTAGATGAAAATGAGTTTATTTTCATTATGATTTTTAGTCTACTTTTCTAAGTAAATTTAACACCTATATTTTCCTCTTAGTTTTTGGGGTTTCCACATTATTCACCTAAACAATACGTGTTTTCTTCTCTTTGTTTTAAGATCGATTTGATATTTACCTCTGCACAGAGGTTTATTAGGTTATTTATTAGGTTATGTTGTTAGTATATCTTATTTTAGACTTTTTAGGTAGACTATTAAAGATAAATCAGTTGTAGATGTATAATAAGATCAACTTTTTTTTGTTGATAATTTATACAATATAACTATTTAAATCTAAATCTTTTAAAAAGCAACATTCTCTCTCACGCTAAGATCTCTTAATGAATTCAAAATTAAAAGCCTTTTAATTATTGAACCCTACATTTATCCTTATGTATACTGTATTATATTATAATAAACTAAATTGAACCAATTTTATTATTTTATTTCGAGTTAAATAAAATTTTAATGATTTTAAATAAATTTTAAATTTTCGATTGTTTCCGTAGCCACCTCATTCCATGTCTTGATAGAAAAACAAAGGCTCTCAAACTTGCATGTAAATATCTTTTGGCTATCCGTAATCAATATATATATCCAAATAAAATGAAAGTAAAATTACATTTTCAGAACAATACAGAAATAAAATTATAAATATAATCAATATATTTGTATAACTTTGAGTAGAGCACATACATAATAATTGTGTATGATACGATTCAAATACGATACCGTTTAATCTAATTGTGTACGGTCACATTCTTTTTTTATAAAAAAAAGGTATTATATTGCCTTGGCCGTAAATGGCATCATCAAGAACAATGGAGAGTTTTGCAAACTGCCCAACACGGAAAAACTAAGAAAACAGAACATATCCATGTTTAACAAGTACCTGTATCCGATGCTCGTATTCCCTCGAACACGAGTGACATAACTTTTACCTGTGTACCTGTATCATATTGTGTAAATTTAACATGCCTGAAGTTTCCATGCCTGGATAAAGGGTATAAGAACATGTGTACATAAATACATGATGCTAATGGCGGCACCATTTTCCCCAATTAGACTACCCTTCCGATGTTAAGTGCAGTTTTGTAAAGATAGCTAGATCATGTAAAATAAGTGCTGGTGAGCAGGTGATGAAACCTAGGGAGGACCAAAATACCTGAATTCGACGTTTTCAACTGATCCTATAAGATCGGTTTTTAAAAGAAAAATTGGGTTCGAAATGGGTTTTGTTAAAGAGAGGATCGGGGTCGGGATGGAAGTGAGTTTAAGATAAAAATTCCCCAACCCAGATAATTATTATAATGTTCTTCTCTATATATTTAGAGATAAATACTATAATGTTCCTCTCTAAATATTTAGAGATAAATACTATAATGCCCTATATCATCCCTAGAAGAAACCGTAATATGTCAATGTTGGATGGGAACTAAATTGGTTTTTCAATGAAGAGAATCATGCATGTCTCAAGTAACTTTTTGGTAATAGTTAGAGTAGGGTAGATGTTAAGTTAATTTGCAGCTTCAGTTGCAGATAACTGTAATATGCTACAGATGCTTACCCTGTACAATCATATAGTTCTTGCTATTAAAAGAAATCAAGTTCCAGCGATCAAATAACAATCTGAATCTAAATATGAAGTTCCAATGGTTAGAGATCAAACCTGGTAACCTGAATGCTAAATTCTGTACCCGATTGTTTTAAGAATATTGAACTCTTATTTCTCATAATCAAGAACAAGTTCCTGTGAAAAGATCAAAACTGATGACCTCAAATATCAAAAAAAGTATGTTGCCACAGAGAAAGATACTAGCAACTCTGGATGCTAAATTCTGATCTTGCGTAATTACAATATCTCCCAGAAACATAATTAATGTCAAAACATGGAGGAGAAGAAACCCATATTTATAAACCCACCTGCCTAAAAAGAGTTTTAGCGACTAGACTAGAGCGTTATACATGAATTTCTTTCTATTAACAAAATATAGAGGAGCATCGGTCACTAATCTATGCTAATAAACGAACTTCTCTAAAATTCTTGATTTGTTAGGATGTCGAGGTCGAAAGTCCTCCAATCGCAAACTCGAACTTGCTAGAATTCCATTTAAGAAAGTTTCTCCTTTATCAATGTTAATTGCCTCCAAGGTGCTTCCAAGAGCATCAGCAGCAAGCCCTGTTTCTAGTAGACAACCTGGCTCCTCTCCGCCATCAAGTATTAAACGCCCAATCTCACTCAGGGAAATTACATTTTCTACTATGATTTTGGCAAAGATACGACCAAGATATTCTGCAGCTTTTGGAGCATCATTTACTGCATCCTCCAATGTGCTAATAACAGACTCAAACCTAAAAGAACAAAGAGAACTCGTGAAATAATGACTACAGAAGGTTGCAATAAATTGATAAATATGCAAGTTAAATGCACCCATGTCTGACATATATTTGGATACTCCGAAGTCCCGGAAAACACAGGAAGATTTTGTTAAATGATTCTCATACCCTTTAACAAGTTGAACATGACTCAACACACCATCATGGGACCTTGCTAGATTGACAAGTAGCTTTGCCAAAAGATCTCGTTCCATGTCTTTTCTCTCAAAAGAGTCATTTACCCAAAGGGCAATCATTGTTGGATGGAAGCTTTGAGAGTGCAAATCTTTGATGCATAAAGCAAATTCTTTCTCATCTCTAGCACTGAAAGAATTAAAAGCAAAAAATGCTCAGTATTTGATAAAAGCAACCATATATTATCATCAAAGGTTGTATATAAAATAAGGACAACAGTATAAATATGTACTAGAATTCTTAAGTTTATCGTCAACTACTGCACTACTTACCTTAAATCAAGCCATTAGTATCAATATCAAAATTATATAATATATATGTGCTTAAACAATATACATCGATAATAAAAAAAACTTAAAATATCAATATCCTATTATCAGAAATTTAAAAACTTGCTATAATCAGCAGCAGCACTATTCAATTTGAATCAAGACAACAGTATTACTATCAAAATCATGTAAGATACATTTTAACCACATACTGAGTAAAGCATACAAATCTCAATATCCTTTCAAGTTTTAGAAATAACCAACTCTCAAAAAAAATCTTCTAAATCTTATCAAGTGACAAGACATCATTTGAGCAATTTAATTGTAGTCAATATTATTCGACCATCTAACTGTAAATTTGATATTGAGATACTAAAGAGAGAGTGAGAGACATGTTTCAGGAGCAGTGTTACATTTTAACTTTTTACCAATGACTAAGAGGTACAGTGCATATGTACAGATGAATGCGTTTGCATTTATATATAATGTTAAAAGGAAACAGAAAGACTAGTATAGGGACATCAAAATCGGAGTAGAGCAAAAGGATACCTGTAAAATTCTTTAATAGCAGCCATAGACATTTCCATCAAGCGTTCCTCGGGCAAGCCCTTTTTTGGAGGAATATTTTGAGTGAGACCTGATGGTTGGCCTTGTGCAGGAGAAGCAGCAGGAGAACTAAAACCATTCAAACCAGCAGCCGTTTTTCTTACATCTCCTGAAATTGGAGAAACATCAGTCAAGGGAGTACTTGACATTGCTGGAGGTCCTCTAAAAGCCATCCCTCTAGCTAGACCACCTTGGGGGACAAAGGTAATAGAATCATCACCGACTGTTCTTTGAGGCAAGGGAATTGACAAATTCCTGGCCTCAAAAAACCGTCTG